TGTCAAGTCTAAACTGGGGCAGGTTTCCCAAGTGAGGACAGTGTGTCCTGAGTAGGAGTGGTAAAGAGCTGGGGTTTTCCAGAGCTTCCACTCTTGCTCTCCCTTTCTCAGCATGGAAGTCAGGGAAGGTGGTACCTTTGTGCTGCTGTGATTAGGGATCTTAACTATCTTTCTCAGCTCCAAGTCCCCTTATACCCAAATACCAACATGTGCTTTCTCAGCCTGATGTGCACCAGGCATTTTGATTAGGAGAATGCAGTTGTATTGAGCCACTTGGGTGTTAGTTGGAGGGATTTTGGCCCTTGAGATGCATAAGGTTACTGTTACGCTGCAGACTATGGACAGAAGCCTGCAAGCCTTCTTGATGCGGCTGTTTGGCTTTCCCAGGTTCCCTTATCCTGCCTCCGAGACCCTGCCTCCTTTTCCCCTCCTTGCAAGGATGCGGCTCTGCTGATGTGCTTCTGTAAGGGCTTGCAGGGCACCTTGCTACTCACTGCTGAGCTGGGTACTTTCCTGATACACCATACCCTTGGCATCCCTCATGCTAGTTCTGTTTCTTGCAAGCAGGACTGGATTCAGCTGTGCTACAGCAGAGGCACCTGACCACTACACTGGGGTGAGTTCTGGGGTGTGGATGTTGTGCTCTGCCATGGTAGCAGGATTGGGATGATGTCGTGGATTGGGACCCTCCTCTTCCCACCTAGTAACTCTGCACCTGGTATAAAGACCAGAATGCAGGAAGAAAAGCTGGTGTGTTTGACTTACTCTGCCACTGAACAGAAGCACGAAAATTTGGTTTTAAGCCCCTTTTGCAGATTAGCTGGAGCTGTGTGAATGCAGTGCGCATTTTAACCTGTATTCTTCCTTCCTTTTAGCTGCTTATGTGGCTAAGGGGACTGCTGGGAGCGGATCAAACACTTGTTCTTAAATTAGGATGCTACAGTTCAGTACTGTAAGTGCATGCTCTGTGGAACAACTGGGACAGCCCATGACAGCTTGTGGGTTGTCTTAATGTGGTTTGGTGCCCAGTGTACATAACTGGGGCCTCTTCCATGTACGTAGGTTGCAGCAGTTCAGCTGGTAAATGTAAAGGGAAGGGCGACAAGTTCTTCTTGTGGGATGGAAGTTGGAAGTAACATACTCGCAGCTGGACATCAAAACAGCAGGCTGGGTAGGTATGGGTATGCGTAAACACTTGGGTACCACTTTGAGCTTGGTTCAGAGATGAAGGGTCCTAAGGAGGACACTTGTAAGTATTAGAGGCAGTTCTTGTTTCTAGCACCTTTTCTGTTAATAACTTTGAAATATGGAAGACTTTTCTCTTTTACAGTTGCACAGCACCTTGTACAGTAGCATCATCTGTGCTACCAGACTCCAGCACGGTCCAAAAAATTAGTAACTTTTCTGTGTTTTGGAAGTCTTATTATGCAACTTAATAGCATAGCAGTGTAATGAAATCTTTACAGGGAAGTGATGAGAGTGAGTGGTTTTGTATGTGAATTACAGGGTCTGCGAGTAGGCGAGACACTAGCTACTTGTTTTATTGCTGACAATATACTTATTTTCATGTTTATTCCTGGATTACAATGTGTGAATAGCATCCCAGTAAACAGTCAGGCAAATAGTTATTTATCAAGTATTTAAAAGTGAAAGGTCTTGTAATTTTCCTTAGTAATGACTGTGATTTCTTCCAGCTGGATTAATGGCTCCCATTTCTCCCCATGAAGAACAAGAAGTGTTTTCATTTCAACATGGAGAGTTATTGTCTCCCATAATAATGCAGACCAGAGGATTTTTTTTCCTTCCTGGCCTGGGAACTGGGAAAGGTTGAAACGTGCATAACCTGAATTAATACCTTGTAAAGACCTTTAATATTCTTTCTTTTGTCATTCCTGTTGGAGTGGTGCAGGAGTTGCTGCTGGCATCAACCCAGCAGCAGCCTGCCTCAGAGCTGCTTTTGTTTCAGTTTGAAGCAATCAGTGGGTCTTGTGATGGAATCACCTTGAAAGGTCACTTTTAATTATGTTTCTGACGCATTCCTCTGTCCCCAACTGGGCGGTCCTGGTGGAACAGGTTGCCTGCAGCTTTGCGGCTCTGTTGCTACAGCAGACAACTTCAAAAATACACTCTAGAGCAGCTGCTGGCAGGCCAAAGGGGGCAAAAAAAAATTGAACAAAGTATTATATTCTGTGCCCAGCCACTGCTGCTGGTACCCTGAGGTGGCGGGGGAAGCAAGTATCAAAGCCTAAGTAATCCCTTGGTAGCAACCTGTCTCGTGCCCCTGGATAGCAAAGTGATTTCTTTGCTGCTGAACTGACTGTCATTGAAGGGCTGTGCCAGACCTTCCCTGTGCATCATGTTGAGGGGACTCAGCAGGTAGAGGTTTCTCCTTTCTCACCCTTTGTGGGATTGACCATCTTCCTGCTCCAAGAGCTGTGACTTGTAGTGCCAGTCCAACCAACAGCATGATAATGAGCATCATCATTTTGTCAGATGGGTTGGCAAATCCCTGGAGCCATTTTTCATGTGCATATTAGCTTTGTGCTTTCCTTTACCTCAACTGGTGAGATTGACATCAGTCAGTTTTGTCTCTGGGTCGGAGAAGACTGAAAGTACTCAGGAGGTTAAGACCAAGGGGCCCTACCTTGAGATCCTAGCTCTGCTACAGGCTTTGAAGGCCTGCTCCCCATCATGTGTGTCCAGATCCTGTAACCTGTTTAATTGCTGGATTCCTGTAGGTTTGAGAGCTGAACTGAGCTGTCATCTCTTAGCACAACAAGCAGAGTTAATGGCAAGGTGTGCTTTCATGACCTCTGCTTCCTTTCCCAACTCCTGCCTCCTCTTGGTCCTACACAAGTCCCAGAAATGTGCAGGGTTTAACAGTTGGGATCTAGCCCAAGAGCAGGTCCTGTGGCTGTGTCAAGGCCAGCACGGAGGCTTTTTTTTTCCAGGACATGTGGTTACAGTGCTACGCCTCTGAAATTCCTGCGTGCTTGGGGTCTGCCTGATGTCTCTCACAGTGGCTTGTGCGCTTCCTGCGCACCAGGGGTGGACCCTGATGGCACAAGAGTGCAGGGGGGTGACAGGAGGAGGGGGACCGTGCTGGGGGCCAGCGAGAGTGCATGAGAAACGGTGCTTCTTCCCAGCTGGGAAGGGGACAGAGTCGGCTCTTTGGACGCTGCATTTAAAAATAAGTAGGCTGTGTGATTGTATTAATCTGAACCTGGTGCTTGTGGCTGGGGGGGCTCTGTGGCGAGTTCTGGCTAATTGCTGTATGAAGACACTGAGTTTATTCTGTCGAAGGAAATTCATGGATGTAGAGTAACCTTTGGCATACAACTGCTGCATGACATGACCGCTGCTGCTGAGGGCTGTGACTGGATTGTGTGTTTGGGATGTCTTAAACTGTGATGATGCTGTAGCAAGGCTTTTGTTCCTTCCTGAACTGCTTTTTCCTTTTCCCCACCCCACCCCTTTCCAATCTGATCAGCAAAGACTTCTAAATATTCATAATGTGGGATTTGTATCTATTCACATGATTGCCGCCGGTTTGAAAAGCATGTGACAATGCAGGGGGGGGAAACGGGGTTAATCTCCTGCACTGGCAGAACAAGGCTGAGCAGGAGGTGTTTAGCGCAAGAATTTATTCTTATTTCTGAACATACCTTTTCCACTGTATTTGCTGTCTGGGGAGAAGGAGTAAGAACAGTTTCCCTTCCCTAACAGCTTCTTCAGATGCTGATTCACTGTCAGGACAGGGATGCATGTGCACTGGTTGTGTGCAAGTGGGATTGCAGGACATTGATGCCTCCAGGCTTAACAAATAACGCCACAGTGCTTTCCTTGCCACCAACCCAGCAGTAACCCAGCTGGGTTTGCAGGTCCTCGTGTTTTTCCATGTCCATCAGCCAGTTTCTACATGGAAGTTGCAGGGTCAAGTTGGTGGGTGGGAGGCAAGCCGTGATTAGTCTGACTTGTAGCCAGGGCAGATCCTCTGACCAACGAGGCTTTCAGCCTCTCATTGGCACATGCTCTGGACTGGGGATGAGCCTGCCTGCCCATGCTGGCAGCATATGCAGCCAGAGGCCTAGGCTGTGGGAGTGTGGGATGGAGCACCATGCCTTCTGGGCTGGCCGAGCCGTGGGTCAGGCTGCCTCTGTGCCCACAGAGCTGCAGGGCCCCAGGGAGCAAAACTGTTAGCTTGGCAAACCGGGGCAACCTCATTAAGAGCTACCGAGAGTGTGAAAAGCATGTTGCTGGAGGCAGGTCATTGTAAATGAGGAGGCTAAAGTAGCTGGGGTTTTCTAACAATTAATTATGGTGTGGTTTTCTAGAGATTCTCTCTTATGTTTGTAATTCATTCCCTGCTGTAGATGCTGTATTGATTTACAATTTTTTTGAAGTTCAATATTTTGCGCCCTCAGGGCCTCAAACAAAAATTAACTAGAAAACGAGAGCAAATTTCTGTGTTCTGCCTTGTCAGAGCTTTCTCTCCCGTTCCCCATCCCCGGAGCCAGTTTCTGTGCTCTGGTTTGGGTTGCAGATGTTGCCAAGCCCATGTGCCGCGAGACGTGGGTGGCGGAACAGCTGTGGCAGAAGAGCTGCCTCACTGACCAACAAATGAGGAAATCAAGAGCCCTATTAAGAGCCTGGAATTGCCCCCAGTGACCTGAGCAGAGTGTTCAGTAGCTGCTAGTGAGACAGGCCTGTTTGAATGAATAAGCATTCCTGTTCGTGTGAAGAAAAAAAATCCCCTCCTCCCCCAGCTCTAATTAGCTACTCTTTTCCTTTTTTCTGCCATGAATATAGAGAGTTTGTCACTGGAATGAAATCTTAACAAGACGCATGTTCTTCAGCTTGCAGCTGATGGAGGTGATCTCTGTGTAGGTGGTGTGAGGACTCCTGTACCTGTTTTCTGTGTTTCCTTGCTGGATCTTTGGTTTTGCTGTTGTGAGTAGGGCTCTTCCTTACCCTCTGGTTCACCTTTTTTCCTCCAACAGAGTGACTAAAGAAGTGGACTCGAGCTCAAAAGAAGCTAAATCTTTTCTGAAGCAGCAAGAGAAATGGCAGTCAGCAGCTCCAGCTTCCTTCCCAACAGTCTCTGGGTAAGTATGTGGTTTCTCTGCCCAGGTATGGACCCTTAGTGAGAAAGATGGCACTTGAGCTGATAATACAAGCTCTGTGGTATTTAAGCTTAATGGGTTTTAATTTTAATTTTATTTAAATTTGTTTTCTGTAGGATTTCAGTGGGAGCAAGACTAGACCTGGAAGGTGTGATGATTTAGGGGGGGAGGGAAGTGGGGGAAGCAACCCATGAGCCCCAGCGACTCACTCTGTAGGTTCCGGCTCGAATTTCTCCATCCTCATAAATCATTCATCCTAGTAAGGAAATGTTGTTTTGAATGTCTTGAGCAGCCTGATGAAACTACAGTTAGCCAAGGAACATGCCTGAGATTGCCTGCAGATCCTTTGAAAGGTGCTTCTCTGGACCATAAAAAGCCATGACATGCTGGGCTGTGACTTCTTATAAACTTTGGGGGAGCATTTTGAATGAGAGATGCTTCTGCCTCTTTGATGTTCTCTAATATTTCCATGTGGATTTGTTGCTTTCTGTTCAAGCTCTAGCACCTAATTCTGTGATTATCATAATGCTTGTCAAAGATACAAAGAGGTCAGGTCCCCTGTGCATCTGACATGCCACTGTGTGGTTCTTGATGAGTTTGGGAGATCACCCACTTCTCAGGAATAGAGGAGATGCTTATGTGTTCCAACAATGATTTTTATTTAAGTCAGTCATTTGCATTTATATTTGAAAGACATAAGCTGAGTATGATTTGGTCATATAGAAACAAGACCCATCAAATAAATACATTGTCCCTCCCATCCTATGAAGAGCAATTCTCCAGTGTGAGTTAAGGCTGCCTTTCCCTAAGATAGGCTGTTATTCAGTTGCTGCAGCTGGATTGTCACTGATTTTTCCAGCTAAGTGTTGCATAGCTTGTAGTTGGATCAGGGTAGTGAAAGCATAGTATATATGTGTGTGTGACTCTTGACAGCTGCTGTTCCCTGGGATGAATGAATGCATAGATGAGCATAGTCTTGTTGCTGTTGTTCACACCACACAAGGGTTCATCCCTGCAGAGCTCATTAGTTGTAACCTAAGTGTTGTGTTACGGGGTTTTGTGCTGAAAAAACTTGCCTTGAGTTGGACTGGCATTCTGTCTTCAACCTGGGTGACCACAGAGGTGGGTCAGGTGGCAGCTGAAGCTAGGGCAGATCTTTGTCATGTACACTGCTGGTGGTCCCGTGCCTTCAAACCTGCTTTCCAGTTCCTCCAGCAAATGCCCTGCTGCTCTGAGTGCAGGCAGGTTTGGCAGCTCACTTGGGAAAGCCCCACGGGCTGCTCACCTTCCTGCTCTGCTGGGATCTGTGTTTCTTCCTGTCTTACTGGCCCAAGGGAGGAGGTGGATGGCCAGTGGGCCTGCACAGCCTAGTCATTACCAAGGTGTTGGAGCTCGTGTTGGAGCTCCGATCGCTCAGGAGAAATAGCGAGAACCCAGCCTGAGTTAATGCTGCAGATATGTAAGTGAAGAATCCACATCAAATATGGAAAAAAATGGAATAAAAATTAGTATAAGAAATAACGAGTTCAAGGACTCCTTTAACTTTCCTTCAGTGTGATTATTTTGGAAGCAGTTTAATTAGGTTGTCGTTCAGCTTGCTGATGTGTGATGTCCTACTGACAGTTGCTTGCCCAGAATATGAGGTGGCCTGGCTGCGGGGAGGGGAGAGGAAAAATACCCCAGGCTTGTATGTCTTGCCTTCCTTCAGAGCAGCAAACCTTGACGCAGTTGTGGCCCCATGTGCCTTCCCTTTCGCAACCTGCTGCAGAATATCCTGGTTTTGTGCAGTGATACTATGGCTGCGGTATTTTGATCAATGTATGGAACAGCCCAGTGCTCTTGAGAGTTTAGCAGGAGACTGTCTGGGGCAGCCTGGCCAGTGTGTGCCCTCTGGTCTGTCAGTGCTCCAGGGAGTTTTCTACCTTGGGATAGTGTCTGAGACTGATCCCTGAGACTGCCAGCGAACACACTTGGCTTTGGGCTTAGGAGGGTGCTTCCAGCTGGGAAGTCAGCCAGCGTATTTTCAGGTGAGAAAATTACCAACAGGCTTGCAGTGTTCCTTAAAGTCAGAGGCGAGTCCCTTTATATTACGAAAATTACAAAGGTCAGGTTTTAGACTTGGAGCCAAGCTATTGTCCAAGCCCTGCTCCTCTGGAACAAAGAGCCACAAGCCTCAGTGACACGCCAAAGGAGCGCTTGGGGACCAAAGGAGCCTGGCATAGCCTGATGGTTCTTTGCTGGTGCCCTTTGGCCACTTAAAATACAAGTTTTGGGGGAGAGGGTGCATTTCCCCTTGTGCATTACAGGAGAGCCCCAGTCTGGGTCAGGATCACTGGAAGGCACTGAAAAACATGTGATTCGGGGTCCTAGACGTGCCTATGGACACCTACTGTGCTGTGAGCCATCTTTAGCCCCCAGGAGCTTTGTCAGCTATTTAAAAAAAAAAAGGGGGGAGGGGGGGGAGAGGGAAAAAAAAAAAAAAGGAAACAGAGCCTTGCCCTGTGTGCAGGGGATTTGAGCAGCTAAGAGTGGCCTCTCCATCTGGCTTTTCTTTCTTCACCTTGCAAGCAGCTTGCATTATTTCTGGGTGCAGCCAGCCTACCCTGCATTTATTTTATTTCTCTTCTCTAAACAGACAGAAGTAATCCAGAAAAGCAGCAGTCACAAAACCAAACATCCGGTTCCACATCTCCACGTTACAAACCCTTGCAGCTTAACTGGTCCAGGGGAAGGGATGTTTGGGGCTGAAAGTGCATTTCCTGAATGTGTTTAACATCCATACCGGATGTGCTATAAAAAGCTAGATTTGTGCTTGTGAGGGACATGGGGGTGGTTGGAGGAGAATAACTAAACACTTGGCTGTAATTAAAGCCAGTAGTACAAAACAACCCATCCAGTTCTCTCAGCAGGCTTTGCTAGAAAGGTCAGAAGCCCTAGGTTCCCAGGGATGTGATGGTTTCCCAGCCTTCCCGTTATTCCCATCGTGTCCCCCCATGACACGCAGCTAGGCAGCAGTCTGTCAGCAGTGGGTGTCGGTTTGTTGGAGGGGTTTGGAGTTGGTACTCTGCTCCAGCAATGTTTCCGTAGTGCTTTTAGATTGTGTTAGGCTCTCACTGATGCTGTCAGACTATCAGGTGTGATGAGGGGATCCACTGATCCCTTCTAATTTGCTGTCACAAAAAATGAGTGGAAGGCTCCTGGCATTCAAAAAAAGCCCTCCACCCACCCCACTAAGCCTTCTTGCCTGTCTGTGTGTTTTAGGGCCCGTTTCCTGTCCTTGCCACTACTCCTGGGCCCTTTGGGCGCAGCAAGAGTAGCTCCCGTCTGTAAGTGCATGACCTGATGGAGGGCTCAGTCAGCTCTGTGGGCATCCCAGGTGCTTTGAGAGCTGCTTTCTGTCCCCTCCCCCGGCCAGGCGAGACCCATGAGCCTCTGCGCTAGTAATCCTATTTTGCAACCACGTTTCATATTCAGAGGATGTTAAAGCCAATGAAATCCTCCACGCAGCTTACTGCAGAATGACTCTCTGCGTGCACTTGTGCACGTGTGACTTAAGATATGACAGGAAGGTTGAGCTACAGGCTGGGAAATACGTGCACAGACCTGAGCCCTTCGACGTCAGTGGCCGCAATCTGCCCATCGGTCCTTGACACTTGTCAAAGCACAGCGGCATTGCATAGGGAACAGTGCTGCTGTAGCAGTCCTGAAAATGAAAAAAGTGCAGTCGGTGGATCTTATTTGAGATTCTCCTCTAGGCAGATGTTTCTACATGGCCTGAACAGGAGCCAGGAAGAAAAAGGGAGGTTTTTCACTGGCTTTGTTCTTGTCTTTGCTTATTACCAAACCCATTTGTAATTAAACATGGACTTGCTCACTCGGCTCAGCTGTTGCTTTTCTGTTTGATCCTGCCTGAAATTACAGTGGTGGATGTGTGAACTCCTAGGTCTTTTCATGCCTTGTAGGCTGGTATAAACACGGGGTAAAATTTGCCTTTGAAGCAAGCAGGCACCACTCCCATGGAGTTCAGGAGGTGCGGTGCTTGCTGACCCCCGGGCTGAGTTTGGTCTGCAAGGGTTTGGACCTCAGTGCAAGACCCAGCAGGAAGAAGCACTGCAAGAAAGGTCTGACCCACAGACACATACTTGCCCTGAACAAAGAAAGCAAGGTAAACTCTAGCCTGTTCATTGTGGATGCTTTCCTCCCCTAGTCCACAGTAAAGTAGTTCATGTGGACTGACCATTATATGGTGTGAAAAGCTTCAGGCCTTTGCTTTTAGAAGTCATTTACTCTGCTGCGTGCTAATGTTGGAGTAGAGGGACTCCAGCAGGAAGACATCTGTCCGTGGCTTCTCTCCCACCTTCGATGTGCAGGAGGAATGGTGGCAGTATTTGTGGGAGGATACGGATGATGGGAGAACCTGGAGCCTGTTTGCAGCAACCTGACCTGTTACTGTATTTTCTAAACTAACCTTTCCCTCAAGCCTAGTTACTCCTAGGAGCTGCTTTGCATCCAAAGCTTTTTCTTGCAGAAGATGCTCTTTCTGCATGAGTTGGCTGGAGCTAACTGGATCTCTTTGCTGTCATGACCAAAACTGGTTACTTGAGATCTTAAGTGGACAATGGCACAGGCTCTCAGCTTCTGTAAACCTCAGATGATCTAGAGCAAGTGCTGCAGCACTCGCGTGTCTCCAGCAAGCAATTTCATTTCACAGCAATCCCACGGGGTTTTTTTTCTTCAGAAAGCTGGAATTTACAGTCCAATTTCAGCTCAGTGTCAATTGCAAGCAGTTATTTAGATAAAACTCTTGCACATTTTGCTTGTATGAGCTGAGCATGCAAATAAAGCAAGTAATCAAGATCTTTGGGGGAGCTGGAGGTGGGGGGGTTTTCAGTAGTCACTTAAGCAACTAATAGCTCTGTTCTTGCTAGTGATTTCAGGGCTCCTCATCTTTCTTCTGCGCTTCTCTTACTGTGCTCCAGAGA